AGGATCTTGAGATGGGGGGGTAATTCTGAATTATCTGGGTGGTCCCAGTGTACTCACATAAGCAGAAGAGAGAAGCAGAGTGAGACACCCAAAGGAATGACAACGTGAGAGGAACTCAATCCACTGTTGCTGGCTTTGAAGATGGATAAAAAGAGCTACAAGACAAGGAATGTTCCAGAGAGTAGGAAACAGATTTTTCCCCTAAAAAATCTCCAGAAGGAAAACAAGCTGTGGACGCTTTGATTTTAGCCCAGTGAAACTGACTTCAGACCTCTGACCACCAGAACTGTAAGATAATACATTTGTGTTGTTATAAGTGCTCAGTTTATAGCATTTTGTTACAGCAGCAAGAGGAAACTAATACAGTGTATTTCAGCATTACACAGTCCACGGTAGAGTCCTTCCTACCAATGTCAGGAGAAACAAAAGGATTCCAGCTTGTTACCACCAACGGTATTCTGTGGATACCAAAATTAAACCATAGGAAGCAACGCTAGGTAAGAAAAACTAGAAAATTTATGGAGTCCTACCCTGCATTTGTTGTCAAGTCTCACTGTAAACGTGCTTGGACCCCAGTCTTCACCCTGACTGGTTATTAGCATTTGTAGGTGAACATCATGAACCTGCATTTTGCATTAAATGGCTTGAATTTCTGAGTCTTGGAGGGACAGGCGTTCAGCCAAGAATTTATGTGCTGACCCTTGTAATCAAGCTGCAGTTTGACTCACTTTAACAAATACAGCCTTAATTTATGTGTGCTTCTGCCAGCCCAGAGCTCACCTCCATCTCATCACTTTCTAACTGATATCTTCCCAGGCACAAAGCAGACACCTAACAGACAGTGACTCCTCTGAAGTAATTGTAGCATGTAGCAGATAAGCGTTTTCCTAAGCGGTGCTAACCAGTTAGAATCGAAAAAAGAGAAACCCCACAGAGGCACACAGCTTCTTGGCACAGTGACGAGGCCTGGAGTGTGGACTTCCAAAGAAGAGGGGATTGATGAAAGGAAAAGAAATCGAGTCGTAAGTTTAGTAACATCCTACAGCAAATTCCTGTTCATCCAGAATCACCGAAAAGCAGGGATTAGCATAAGAATGAGACAGAATACATGAATTGTCCATTTGCAAAGTAGCAGAATAGAATAAAATGGCCCTTAATAGGAAAATGGTTCTAAATTAAATTTAGTCTCACTGACAATTTGGAAGGTGCCTCAGGGTGCTGCAAGATTTCCTCTCTCCGGTCATGAATATTAACCATCGGGTGCTGTGCTGCAGAAAAGAAGGTAGGAACCTTGAGCCTTCCATCTGCAGGCATCTTAAAGATCCCCAAGTCTATAAGCTTTATTAAGGAATCTGTGCCCTTCCAGTTATAACCTGAAAACTGACTGTGGACCTGCGAGTGGACAGAGCTGTGTCGTAGTCAAGAAAGTGCCTTGTTAAGGTGAACGCATCTTCATTCTGGGGATCAATTTTTACACCTGGTGCTGAACCTGGAGCGAGTCAGCAAGGGCTCAGCACCTTCGGCACATTCTCTGCAACGTTTCACTCTCCCTTGCAAACTGGATGCCCCAGCACAGGAACGTGTCTGTTCTCCTCCCTGTGCTGTTTATTCCCAGCTACTTAGTGGGTGCTTAACCACCAGTGTGGAAGCAGTATGTGAATGATTCTTGATTTCCATAAACCCACGTAATCGGGACGGTCCTCCACGCCTGAGGATCTACATCTTCAAAACTGGCCATCACACCTGGACTAGGGGTAGCCAGGAGAACTGTGCAAAAGGAATGTACCTGTCCCTTTCTCTGCAGTGAGCCCGAGGGACAAAGGGGCGGTGCACAGCACCCACAGATAAAAAGGAGAGACGAAAGAAAACTAATTAAAATGAAAAACCACCTTTTAAATCTTCACGTGTAAAGATTCAGAACAACTGGAGAAGTGCAAAGATAGAGGGCACCCTTGGCTCACTTCAGGGGTACATTTGGAAAAACAATTTGGCAGACTCCATCAAGAGCCTTAGAAATAAATGCTCATTCCTTTTGGCCCAGTAACTGCACTTCTGGGAATCCATTCTAAGGAAATAATCTTAAATATAGAAAAAGCTTCATGCACAAGAATTACGTGTTTGTTATTTCATTTTAAATGTTACAGTATTATGTATAATAACAAAGACTGGAAACAACCTAAATATCCAACAATAAGGGGCAATTAGGTAAATTATGATATGTTGTATGACTATTATGCAGTCATTAAAATATCTGTGTTGAATGTTTCAGTAGCATGAAAAATGCTTGTGTTATGATGTTAAGTGAAAATGGCAAGACACAAAATTTCGTATACATTATGAAATCAATTAGATATTTTTAAGTGCATGGAAATAGGACCAGGAGGATTAGAAAATTATTAGCAATGATTCCCTTTGTGGGTGAAGTGGAGAATTTGTCTATTTTTCTTTTTTTTCTATAGTCCCCACATTTTTTTGTAGATATTATATTTTTCATATATTTATCTTCGGGGGAGGGGAGAAGCTTTTTATTTTTGTTAAAGATCCTTCTCTCTGAGGGATTCGTTCAACACAGCTTATTCAGATAGTTACTATTCCGGGCGAAGGAAAAGCCACTGGTGGCCCAGGGAGAAAGGAAGAGGGGCTGACGGACCCGGGGGTCTCCTCACAGGAGTGCTCGTTTGGATTCCCGTTCCTGCAGTGTGGGCAGCTGTCACTCTAACTGCCCATGGGCTTCAGTCCCCCCGGCCCAGGAGCAGACCCCGGGCCTCAGTCACAAGGCTCAATAGCAGGTGAATAGTGTTGCTCTCTTTCGGGCTCTGTCCTTAATTTCTGTTACCACATTTTCTATGGACCTTTGAAAGCAAGTGTCAACACCTCCACCTGTGTCCTCATCAGCTGAATCCTTTTTGACTCCTTGTGTTACACCCTCTTCCCTGCTTCCAGCACCCCACGAGGTCTCCCAGGGGCTGCAGCCCTACCTCTGCACCCAAATGTCCTGGGATAAGCATTGGCCTCTGAGATGAGCCCTCCAGGAAGCCGAATGCTCACTTTTTTGCACCAGCTATTTGCTGCCAGGTGCGTCCCCCTTGTGTCCCACTCACCTACTAAGATGGTGAGTGACTGCCAGCCCTACATGGGCTACCCGCCCCCCTGGTCCTTCTTTACTGAAGCTGAGGGTACAGTAAAGTTCCTGATCCTCCCCCAAGCTGTGTCCCAGTCTCCTTAGCTTGGTTCCTGTCCCACCCCTGCAGACGAAGCTGTCACTGCCATAACTATAGCTCCTTATGCCCCCTCCCCACCTCCCCAAAGTCTGCTGGGATCTCACAGGAAAATGTGGCCAACACTAGAGCCCCTTCTCCTGTTCCCTGTAGGAAATTTACTCTGGGTAAGTGATTTGGGGAAATAAAATGGAGTGCTTCCTATTAAAATGATGGAGGTCTCGATTCTGCACTGTTTGTATCTCTGATTAAACAGAAGCTAGGCTAAAGATCCCTACTTTTATTCAAGAGTCTAATAAAGTTGGAAATTAATGATGAGGATGACGATGAACTTTCCTATGTAGCTGGCACTGTGCTAAGCATTGAACAAGGAGAGTCAATCTAGTCTTTAAAAAAAAAAAAACCCAAAGGAGGC